CTTGCCTTCTTGCCACGTGTGAGGCGCGGCAGCGTCCTCTGCTGGAAGGTGCGCGGGTACAGGGCTGGAGGGTACAATTTTCGCAACTTAGAAATAACTGTATTGGTTACAAGTTCCCCGTGTCATGTTAAGAAGCTCATGGACGCGGTTTTATGGTAACCTAAAGTAAAAGACGTTTTAAGGGCTCTTTTCTTGAAATTGTCCAAAGAGAGACTGATTGGGAAACGTCGACAGTCAATATTATCTCGAAGAAATGCGGAGTACCCGCGTGTCGTTCCAGTCTCCGCACTCGCTATCACAGGCCAGCCCCACGCCTCACCATAGCCAAACGCGCTACTTGTCTGCGCTCTCTCACTTCAAGTTTTTCGCTACTGATGAGTGCATGTTTCGCTGCGAGATCTTGGTATCGACGCAAGTGCTGCATCACGAGGGTAGCGCGTGCGGAGTATGGAGACGTCGCGAGTACCTCTACCCTCTAGCTCAGTTCCCGTGCACTTTTTAGGGGGAAAGTGGCACACACAGCACAGGGACCTTCTCGCTCATGGTAAGGGCCAACTTCTGAAGTGAGTATACAGTTCATCTTCAAGACCTGGTGGACTGCTTCAGATAAACTATGCGGGATACTGTGGATTACAAGGTCTTGTACGGTAACCACCAGTGTGCTCGGGGAGTAATAGTGATGGCTCTAAGCACAGGAATGCATAACGGTTTTACAATCGCCTGTTGGATGAAGAGCTTTTCCGATAGGTAAAAATGGGCTTGATTGCTTAGCGGAAGACTGCTAAATAAATGGCTCGTTTATAATAGTGGCCAGTTGTTAAGTGAATTAATCCTGAATGGGTGAATAAGCTAGGGCATAAATGCAATATGAAGGTGCTTTTGGTGCAAGTTTCGTCAGATTACAGTAATTTCACTTTTGCACTAACGTTTTTTGAAAATTTCGAATTGTTACGAGCTTTGTTTGCAAGCCACTTTTCCAATTTTTCTGTCATGTTGGACGGTGCTTTTGAGCTGGAATGTGCGAAAGCCTGCTGCAAGGTATTTCAAAAAATTTTCTCTCTCATTACAATCGTTTGATACTCACCTAGCTTCGAGTAAGAGAAACGTGAACCTCTTAACCCCTTCCCACCCCCCTTGCATTAAAGAATCAGTTTCTTTGCCCTAGAGCCACCTTGCCGTGATATCAACCAAAACCCTCATCTATGCCTCGCCATCCATTTCTTCGCGCTAAAAGACACCCAGCATGAGAAAGCAAAGGAAAATCTTACAAATGAAACTAGAGCCGTTTCGTAGCTTTGAGAAATCCCCTCGGCAATTTGAGTTGCCGTAGTTCGGCAAAGCATGACGCTATAGTGACCCGTCACATCGCAGTATTTTGAATCAAAGTGGCCATCAACCTGTCCGCCAGTTGATCGTACGCCTTCGAAAAGGCTTATTTGAGTGTTCCGATTGTCCGCAGTGACTTGCTGGGCGTCCAGCCATCGTACCGATGCCCAGTGTTTTTTCTTTTTCTCTCTCTCTCTCTCCCCTCTTCTCTCTGCTCTCTCTCTCTCTGCCCTCTGTTGTCCTCCTAGACGAAGTCTTGGCCTTACCAATTGATTCGGCCTTTGAATGGGTAGGTTCACCTTGAATGAGAGCCGAGGCGCAATTTGACCCTGTAGCGTGCGTGGAAAGCGTCAAGCGTGAGCGTGCACTACAATGCCTTCACCTCAGCAGTCAGTGTCAGTATTCAAATTCATTGATTGTATTCTATTGTTGATGAAGAAATTAGTTATGTTATCGATGGAGGTCGTAGCTAGAGCGAAGGTTGGGGACCACCCAAATTTTTCCGCTGAAAATAGCGGCTAGAGCGGGCCTCGTTCGCCTCTTACCGGTTTTCACTAAATATTAACAGGTTGGGGCGGAAGTGGTGTCACTACAAGTGGCACGCTTACTACGCGCACGATCCGCGGATCAAATCCCAGACTGGCTACCGCCCAGACCAACTACGCCTTCCATCTTCTGGGGACGGTAAATTGGTACCAGATTCGTCTGGGAGGATAAAACACTGACTTGTACATCGGCTGGCCCCGCAAGTCATTGTATAGGCCACATCGCATTCAATAAGCCACTACGATTCTGAATGGAAGTAGAATGCGTGCCGCATTCCAAGGAACTGGTGAACGGCAGAGACTATCTTTTATTGATTGATTACACCGGATACTGGATGGTAATGGATTAAATGATGTTGATTTCAGGGCAGGACCATCAGCAAAACGTTCAGCTATCTCCGGTTCAGGCCTCGTAGGCAATAGAGTTTACTTCAGTGATGAAGATGATATTTATGATGAAGACGATCTGCTTGATGACGACGATTAATGGCGTTCTCATGTCACCAGAGCTTTTCAGCATGAATACTCTATCGATACTGCTTATAAATATTATTAGGATTTTTGCTTTGATATTTTCAACATATACACACCCACATGTGTCCGAGTTTTTGTGCCCACAACTTGCGAGCAATTAATCTAAGCAAAGTGTTACGTGTTTAGAGAACAGTGATCAGTCTTTTGGTGGCCGGTTGATGTTTCTCTACCGATTATTCTTGTTTTCATGTACGTGTTGCGCAAATGATAGCGAAGCGTATAGCGCATCATTTTTTCTTTTTGCGACTTGTGATTTGCTTTCGTGATTTGCCGTTTTAGTCGTTCTTTTTGCGAAATAGCTTAACGATCTTGAGAAATGTGTCGTTTCTTTCTTGTATGTCATCACCATCACTTCTTTATGTGAGTCTCACACGATAAGGTAGCTATCAGTAGCCGTATATGTTACATTTGACAGTGTTTTTACTGGTCAAGGGTATATGTCATTCGGTTTTGTTTTCGTTTTCTGGAAAGCCGAAGAACTTAAAGACACCGTTCGAGGTTGCCAGGTGGGCGGGGCCGGGACATGACTCCAAACCCCGCCCTTCCAGCAATTCCGCTTGGTGTTTCCAATCAAAAGATGCTTTTCTTAGTTCTCATATCCGATGTGGTTCTACACACTTGTTCGTTGAGTACTTTCATTTTCCAGAAATTTATTGTGTTTATTAAATTGTCGAGTCATGCGTTGCTTTGTGTTCATCACTCGTTTGTGCTTTCTCTGCCTCAATATGTCGTTCGTTCGTAATGTCCGCAAAAAGGTATGAATTTCTCTGTTTCTTTCATTCAATTTCTATACAGTAGGTAACAGTTTTTCTTGAAGAATACTGGATTAAGGGTCATCAATGTGTGACCGAGTGATCACAGTTGATCAGTAGAGTCGTTACTAACAATTATTTCTCGATGCTTGTTTCTTTTCTTTTCTGGCCTTCATGGCTAATACAACATCAATTCGCTTTTAATTTCTAACATTTTGCAATAAATTTTGTGCTCTAGATTTGGTCAAATTACGGTATCTTTTCCGGACGTGGACGAGATGGGTGAAATCGCGGTGCCAGCACGACCTCTCCTATTGAGGACAATGTCCCAAATGTTGATCCTCCAATACGACCGCTCTCAAAACCTACCCGAGGATGGGGGGGGGGAGATCCATCCAGCTACAAGGAATAGTCAACCCCATATATATAATTCGCTTTGTCTGTTGTTTGTTTGTGAGTTTGTAAGTTGGTAAGTTTCACCCCATATATATATAATTCGCTTTGCCTGTTTGTTTGTTTGTAAGTTTGTCTGTCCGGAAATTCGGTTCGACCTGAAGAACGACTCGGATGTCAGTCAAGGTGGGATAAGGTTGAGCATCGCAGACAAGAAATAAAAAGCACACTTGGCCCGTGGGAGGCGCTCCCCCACAGGTGGAGGCGGGGCACTCGCCGAACCCTTCAAGTTCGGGGGTTACGCCAGGATTTCACACTCTTACAATATTTCGCTTTCCCCTTGGGCACAGCCAGTTTAAAGATGGTGCGAAAAAAGTGGCCTAAGTTTTGAAAGAGTCCCAGGCACTAATTGTGGAAAGGTACCCACTCTTAAATGCGGCTAGGGCGTACTCAAGGAGCGGCCGGTGCCCCTCGCCAAAAGGTCTCAGTTACCCGCGGCGTTCGCGAGACGCGTTTGGGAAGTTTCGCAAAAAACTCCGGTTGTGGGAATGTAAGATATTCGGCGAATTATTATGGGCGCGCTTAAAGTGTGTTGAAGCCGCTCCACACGCGTTGGGCGAGCTTGCCTTAAAGTTCGCACGCCGTTTTCATCCTTTAAACTTTGAGCTCAGTTCCAGAATTACTCCGGACACCGCGAAAAAAACGTGAACTGCGTCAACAAATGGCGTCGCCGATGGCAAATGTGTGTATACATATTGTCGCCGCGGGGTTCAGCTGTGAGCCGTAGACGGAAGCGCGGACAATGGAAGGTCTGTAACCACTGGTTCCAGAAGCACTCCGAAAGACCGGAATAAAGTGAATTCAGGGCAGCCAAAGGGTCGCCGATTGAGAAATGTGGGGTATACATATTGTGGGCGGGGCCAGCCCGAGGTGGGCGGAGCCAGACGAAAAAATTCTCTAAAACTGTCCCAGAGCACTTCAAGACCGGAAAAAAACGTGGATTAAGGTCAGCAGAGGGTCGCGGTTGGGATTCATGTAGCACGAGAATTGGGCGCGGAGCGCTGCTTAGAGCGTGCGGCGCGAATCAGACAAAAAGCATTCTGACAAAACGGTCTTAGAGCACTCCGAAGAACGGAAAAAATTGGATTAAGGTCAGCAGAGGGTCGCCAGTGAGGATTGTGGGG